TTCTAATCATTCTTTGCAATCCACAGTCATAAAGCTGTCATTTCTATTTCTCTAAATAGTAGTATTAACAGCATGGCTGCTTGTGCATCAAATTACTCTTCAATGACTACTCTTGAAAGCAAACATGATTGCAAAAGTGGGAGAAATGTAATTAAATGGGTAATATTTTCAATCCTAATGTCTTGTGATGTAGCAATTTGAAAGCATGTTTTGGCAATGTTTGTTCTCTTTTCCATTCTATTTGCTAAGTTTTATGGTGTCGTATAGCACTGAGGAGTGTAATGAGTATGATAAGTCGACCCAATCCCTTTCAGGAAAAACAGAGACCTTGCCCGAGCTCCTTGGAGTGCCACCAGATAGACAGACCTCGTCTGTCAGAAGCCCCATTGGGGTTTCCACAGATCAGAGTCAACTTTCTCTCCTAACAGCATGCCTGTTTCCCCTCAACCAAATCAGAGGATGCTCTGGCACAGGCATGTGAAGGCTCAGCCCTCTCGCCAGATCCCAAGCAACTCTAAAGTACCAAAACTTCCTAGAAAGTTGTATGAAGCATCCAGTGAGCTTCTTCCCAGTTCAACTTCTCTCCTTTCCCAGCCCTCCCTTCCCTGTCAACCCAAGAGCACTCCTCAAAAGGAGATGTGATCTCTGTCCTCTTTGGTCCAGAGATAAGAAGCAGGAAACCTCGCCATGCCAAAGAACAGGGTGTGCAGGGATTTTACAGGTCTTCTACTAGACGGAGGGAAGTGAAACATAGTAATAAATCCTGAGGACCTACCGACAGGTATATGTGTAACTCAAATTCTTGCACAGTCCCAGTGCAAATACAACTATTTCAAATTCTCTTTATTCTCTATTGTCTTCTTCCTGTGTCCATCCTTACATCTCGTTTGTTTTCCCTCTCTTGCCCACATCTGGTGTGATCTGAGAAAGATTGAAAGGTCCTGTGGCCTAGATATAATTCTTTAACAGGCTGATACACCTTCCTCTCCCTTATGCACAAAATTTCACCACTGAAGCCATGCTTTGGGGTAAAGCCCAGCCAGATGCATGGAGCTTCTATTTAGATACATGTATATTCCATGGAAGAAAGGCTCTGAGAGCTCGTCTACCTCATTAAATAGTCTTTGTCTACTTAACAAAGTTCTTGTAGTTTGTTCATGAAAAACAACTATGGGATGAGGCAATCTTGTCTGAAAGGAGATGCCAGATACAACAGGTAAGTTCAGTGGGATGGGAGGACACTGGAATGTCAGCTAGAAGTCCAGGTATTGTCAGAGTTGCTTCTGTATTAGGGTGTGTGGTGGTGTAGATACAAATACCACCTGATGGAAATACCACCCCAACTGTGAGTTCCACAGAAAAACAGCCTAGGGTCCGAGTTACCAGTGAACTATCAACTTTCAAATCAAATGGGTATTTTTCTATGTGGTCTAACTCAACCTCTGGGTGGCACTGTTTTCTCTTTCTAGGGCCTGCCCTGCGGACTAGCCCTTCCTTTTAGAAGGCCCTCTTCCCTTGGCTCCTGGCACCCACTTGACTACAGGCTTCCTTCTGTCCCCTGGCCTCTTTCTCATGTGCCACTGGCTTCTCCTCCTTTGGACTCATTCTTTTCCTCATCTCCTACGTTTCCTGTTAAGAAGTCACAAATTTCTGAACAAGGGTAGAAACCATGGGGATTAGGAGCAGATAAAACGTGAAGATTGCCAGGCGGGAGTTGTAGCTCACTTAGGTCAGACAGAAGAAAGCTGTCCCGAGCTGCCCCCACCGGGCATCAGAGTGAGAAGCGCTGGTCAAGGTGCTGCACCACTCTCCAAATACCTCTGTCTGCCTTTGCCCTCACCCATGTGCAGGTGGTAGTGATCTCAGATTTACATTTTTGTCTGTCTTATTGGGTTACAAAATGCTTGAGCATAGAAGTCATAACAGGAAAACTTCCTTGAGAGAATAAAGGGATAAATGTTTACAATATATGCAGAGATTAATGTAGCAAAAGCCACATATATGCACCAAGATCAAATGCTGGTTCATGGTATCAAAGTTCCAATAAGTCCTCCCAGACCACAGAGAAAGTGGAAGCATTTCTGCAACTTCTTTGAGACGCCTCTTTACTCACAGCCATTAATGCAATGCGTTCTGCTTCGGTGAGTCCTGGCACTTAAGAAAAGCCTGAAGGCTGAGACTGTCATTGCTTACGGATTTGGACATCTCATCTACCTTGTAGCTGCTTGACTACTAATGGATTCAGTGGGTTGAGTACAGAGTGTGGCTCCAGCCACACAGGTGCATTCCTTTACCTCCAGAGATGCCCCTGGCCCCTTCTCCTTCTGTTCACATCACGCCAACCAGCCACACTCCTCAAGCTCCTTTCCCATCCTATAATCAACACCAGCCACAGAGCCCAACACTCCTGTACTTATTCACACTTGTACTTAATTCACAACTGTATGCTTTCCAGTGCCACTCAACCATGTGCAACAAATGCCATACGACTTCACATTACTAGTAAGTAAGTTTCTGGAGGGAAGAAAATGTGTGTTTTTAATCTTTACTTCTCGTCCTCTACTATTTGCTTCATATAGAAGATTCTCAAAGTAAACAGCAGGTACATGTTGCCCCAGCTATCCAAGGGGCCAAGGCAGGAAGATGACAAGTTTCAGGCTAGCCTGGAAAATATGGTGAGACCCTGTGTCAAACTTAAAGAAAACAAAACAAGACATGACACACTTACCAAATGGTTTAAATTCAACTTTTAAATATTTTGTGTGATGTGTATATGTACCAGTTCCCCAAAGTGAATGTAAGCAATACATATCACAAACATACTAATTTAAATCAAAATTTAATATAAAGACATTTCCTGTTACAAGAACTTCACATTTTAACGTCACTAAGTTTTGGGAATCTTTTTTCTCCCTGAGTTAGACTGATGTACTTCAGGGTCTAAAATCTTGAATCTAGGAAATCTAAGCTCGCAGTATTAAAACTGTCCAAATTCCCAGGGTGGAGGCTGGGGAACCTGCCTCTGACCTCACCCCTACAACTGCTGCGTTTAGGTTATGACAATGGTTAGTCACAAGCCCGAGGACATACTTTCCAAGTTAATGGCGTATTTCCTCCCATTCTGAATGTAGTTGGTGACACCAATCAAATGACATCATAGCTCCTCTATACAAAGTGTCTCATTTTTTGGCATATACCCTCCAAGGTTGCCTGCTTATCGAAATACTAGATAACAGTAAGTAGAGCATTTTAGGAGGAAATGTATTTAAATTCTTTTCCCTCAATGAAGAATGCTGCTGGGCTGGGGATGAAGCTCAGTTGTGCCAGTGCCTGCATGGCAAATGCGAGGTCCTGAGTTCGATCCGGGGCGGGGGGGGAGAGAGATAGAGCGCAAGCGAGAGAGAGAGAGAGAGAATGCTGCTGCCAGCCTATCCTTGAGGAAAAAGAAGTCAAAATTTCGAAGGGTTCAGAGGAAAACAGAATTCCGTTCTGCTGAGCTCTGCATGCCATGGGAAATCTTTCTCTATATTAGACTTTTCTCTCAACTGGGAGAAACACAGCCTCAAAGAGTGGTGACCCATGCCCCAAAGTGACAATGCTTTTGCAGGGAAATAGTTTTTTCTGTCAGGTCTGATCAAGAACCTGATCAGTGGTCTGATCAGTGGCAACCACTAGCTGACAGTCTGTCCACAGGAGAGCCTGAAGTGGGATTCTTCATTGTGTTTCACTTCCAGTCCCGAACCAGGAAGTGCTGTTCAAGATGAGCTCAAGACAAAAAAACGATCTAGCCTCATAAAACTAAACCCAGCAGATCTCAGAAAGACTCTGCGTCCTTAAATCTGGGATGGTTCTCTGGTTTGGATTAGAACCTCTGGTCTCTGGCCCATAAAATATTACTAAACTTTCAAAACTGCCAAAGCAAAGTTATAGGACACAGAACACACCGCCGCCTGCACTTAACACGCTCACAGACCCTTCCCTTTGGTGATCTCCTTTCCTATCTAGACAGTCCAGGCGTGGGTCAGATTTGGCTAGTAATCTCTCTGCTAACCCAGGGTGGTTACAGAGGTGTCTAATTCTCCAGATTCTTGGAGAGGAGGGTCGAGGCGGGATCCGGCCACGCCCAGGTCGCAGTCTTCAGTTGCACAACTGCTAGCTGCCTCAGGGCAAGTCCTAGGGGGAACCCTGCAACCTCCGGTCCCCTTCTTTCTGACCCACCGGCCAGTCCTCGGGCAGGGGAGGGTCACCGGCTGGCGATCGGGGAGGAGGGCGTCCTAGGTCAGGCTCGGAGCTTGGGACAGCTTCGG